ACACAGGTCCCCAGGCACCTGGGGTCCGTCCTGGCCTGCTTTTCGAGCCGCGCCCAGCCGTGGCGCCGACTGCGTCGCCGTCTTGTCTCGAGCAGTGGCGAAGCGTCCTGTCTTGCCGATCGGCCCACCACAGAACGTTCTGAGAACCTTCTGTGGCCTGCACGAAGTGCTCTCAGAACATCTCTGGCCGAGACTGCCTTGTTGTCACGCATCGGGCCTCTGTTCTGAGAGCCGTGTGTTTCGTCTTGGAACAGAGCTGGGTTCACTGCCCATCTCGTGGTAGGCCTACAGGCATGCCGGGACGGTCGGCCCCTGCCCCATTGTTCTGCGCCAACGAAATGGGCACGGAAAGAATGGGTACAATGCCCAACAGCGGATCTTGTTCATGTTGAACAGGACTCGCTGTCCGCGCCGCCGCGGCCTGCGCCCATTCAAGACAGACGGCCGCCTGCCCGACAGCGGCCGCTGTCGGTTTGGGGCAACATTTGTTGCTGGGCATTGTGCCCATTCTTTCCGTGCCCACTTCGGGCGTCCAAAGCGGAGGGTGGAAGGCTCCCGGGGAGGAGGCTGCTTCTCAAAAGGCGCCGGCTTTACATCTGCAGAGATGAAGCCCGCACCCTCTCAGAAGCAGGGGTGCTTCTAAGAAGCCTCCCCCCCCTCCCCCATTCTTTCCATACCCATTTCGGGCGTCCAAACTCGTCGCCGTCGCCCCGTCGCGGCGCCGAAGACCGCCGGAGAGTCCCCCGCGAGGCTCTCTCCGCGCCAGGGGGGGGGCAGGCCGTGGGCCCGATCAGGGCCGCGGGGCGCGCGCCGGCCGGCGGAGGCAGGCCGACGGGGCGGCCGCCAGAGGTCGCCGCAAGAGCACCGCACTCGGCGCGAAGGAAACGGGCACGCAGACAGGGGAACCAAAAGTGGCATAAACATAAAAACTCGGAAGTCCGCGCGGATTTCTCGGATCCGCGCTGGACCCCCCTGGCGGCGCCGGCGCCGCCCCTGGCGCGCTCCGCGCGCCAGGGAGGGGGGTCCAGCGCCGATCCGAGAAATCCGCGCGGACCTCAGAGCTTTTATGTTTATGCCACTTTTTGTTCCCCTAGTAGAGAATGGGTACAGTGCCCAACAGCAGTTCCTTTTCATTCTGAGCAAGACTCGCCGTCCGCGCCGCCGCGGCCTGCGTCCATTTGAGACGGAAGGCCGCCTGCCCAGCAGCGGCCGCTGCTGGTTTGGGACCACATGTGTTGTTGGGCATCGTACCCATTTTGTCCGTACCCATTTCGGGCGTCCAAACTCACGGCCCCCCGCCGCGCCGTGCACAGAACGCGACGGGCGGCTTCTTGCCGCTCTCGGCTCCCGGGGGGGCCCTTGCCAGGGCCCCGGGACCGTCACAAACCGCCCCCCCAGGATGAGAAGCCAGTCCCCGGGATCTTCTCCAGGACGGGCCGTAAGTCGGGCGTGTCCCTCTACAGGGAGAAGGTTCAAAAATAGTAAATTATTCACTGCGTGGGGATCCCCATATGTGCATCTCCTTGCTGGCGCTCCCTTGGTGGTGGGACTCGGTGAGGACGAATCTGGATTTAAGTGTGACTGAGCTGCCTCTCTCTCTGCTCTCTCTGCTCTCTCTGTCTCTCTCTCTCTCTCTGCCCTCTCTCTGTCTCTGCCTCTCTTTCCCTGCCTCTCTCTCTCTCTCTGCCTCTCTCTCTGCCTCTGTCTCTCTGCCTCTCTCTCTCTCTGCCTCTCTCTCTGTGCCTCTCTCTCTCTGCCTCTATCTCTGCCTCTCTCTCTCTCTCTCTCTCTCTCTCTCTCTCTCTCTCCTCTATTCTCTCTCTGCTCTCTCCTCTCTCTCTCACTCTCCCTCTCTCTCTCTCTCGCTCTCTCTCTTCTCTTCTCTTCTTTCTCTTCTCTCTCTCTCTCTATCTCTCTCTCTCTCTCTCTCTCTCTCTATCTCTCTCTCTCTCTCTCTCTCTCTCTCTCTCTCTCTTCGCTCTCTCGCTCTCTCTTGCTCTCTCTCGCTCTCTGTCGCTCTCTCTCGCTCTCTCTCTCTCTCTCTCTCTCGCTCTCACTCGCTCTCTCTCGCTCTCTCTCGCTCTCCCTCGCTCTCTCCCGCTCTCTCTCTCTCTCTCTCTCTCTGCTCTCTCTCTCTCTCTCGTCTCTCGCTCTCTCTCTCTCTCTCTCTCTATCTCTCTCTTCTCTTCTCTTCGCTTCTCTTCTCTCTCTCTCTCTCTCTCTCTCTCTCTCTCTCTCTCTCTCTCTCTCTCTCTCTCTCTCTATCTCTCTCTCTCTCTCTCTCTCTCTCTCTCTCTCTCTCTCTCTCTCTCTCTCTCTCTCTCTCTCTCTCTCTCTCTCTCTCTCTCTCTCTCTCTCTCTCTCTCTCCTCTCTCCTCTCTCTCTCTCTCTCTCTCTCTCTCTCTCTCTCTCTCTCTCCTCTCTCTCCCTCTCTCTCGCTTCCTCTCTCTCTCTCTCTCTGCTCTCTCTCTCTCTCTCTCTCTCTCTCGTCACGGGCTCGTGAGATCAGCCAGGGTGGCTCCCCCTTGGGGCTCCCAAATGATGCCCCTGGCAGCGTTTTGTGACCATGAGGCTCTCAAGAGATACATGTTGGGGAAGCCAAACGGCAATTCTAGCTGAGGCGTCCCACCAAAATCGGCGCGAACGGGCTCGTGAGATCAGCCAGGGTGGCTCCCCCTTGGGGCTCCCAAATGATGCCCCTGGCAGCGTTTTGCGACCATGAGGCTCTCAAGAGATACATGTTGGGGGCGCCAAACGGCAATTCTAGCTGAGACGTCCCACCAAAATCGGCGCGAACGGGCTCGTGAGATCAGCCAGGGTGGCTCCCCCTTGGGGCTCCCAAATGATGCCCCTGGCAGCGTTTTGTGACCATGAGGCTCTCAAGAGATACATGTTGGGGCGCCAAACGGCAATTCTAGCTGAGACGTCCCACCAAAATCGGCGCGAACGGGCTCGTGAGATCAGCCAGGGTGGCTCCCCCTTGGGGCTCCCAAATGATGCCCCTGGCAGCGTTTTGCGACCATGAGGCTCTCAAGAGATACATGTTGGGGAGGCCAAACGGCAATTCTAGCTGAGACGTCCCACCAAAATCGGCGCGAACGGGCTCGTGAGATCAGCCAGGGTGGCTCCCCCTTGGGGCTCCCAAATGATGCCCCTGGCAGCGTTTTGTGACCATGAGGCTCTCAAGAGATACATGTTCGGGGCGCCAAACGGCAATTCTAGCTGAGACGTCCCACCAAAATCGGCGCGAACGGGCTCGTGAGAACAGCCAGGGTGGCTCCCCCTTGGGGCTCCCAAATGATGCCCCTGGCAGCGTTTTGTGACCATGAGGCTCTCAAGAGATACATGTTGGGGGCGCCAAACGGCAATTCTAGCTGAGACGTCCCACCAAAATCGGCGCGAACGGGCTCGTGAGATCAGCCAGGGTGGCTCCCCCTTGGGGCTCCCAAATGATGCCCCTGGCAGCGTTTTGCGACCATGAGGCTCTCAAGAGATACATGTTGGGGCGCCAAACGGCAATTCTAGCTGAGACGTCCCACCAAAATCGGCGCGAACGGGCTCGTGAGATCAGCCAGGGTGGCTCCCCCTTGGGGCTCCCAAATGATGCCCCTGGCAGCGTTTTGTGACCATGAGGCTCTCAAAAGATACATGTTGGGGGCGCCAAACGGCAATTCTAGCTGAGACGTCCCACCAAAATCGGCAATTCTAGCAAATCTCTTCTTATAATATCTTGTGCTATCTTATCTTATCTTGTAGTATCTTATCTTGTCTTGTCTTATCTGGTGATTATCATTGGGAGGAGGGAGGCGCGAGCGGGAGGAAGAAGGAGGAGGAGGAGTGGGAGGCGTCAGAGTAATAACAAGAACCCCAATCCTTAGGATATGGGGAAAAATAATATGGGGATGATTTTTGTTTGCCATTTTTGACTGATCTTGCCATTTCTGTACTATTTTTAATGGTTCGTTCGAGATCCGCCCGTAGGGGGGCATGCCCGACCTAAGACTGGCCCCCTTCAAGGGGCCCAGCCCCAGCTTGGCATCGCTCGGACGTGTGCCTCCTTCTCTCGGCGGGGATCATTTTGAGAGGCACCCTGGAGCAGTCCTGCAACGAAAAAAGCGCACGAGGGATGGCAAGCCGGAGAAGCTCCTTGCGGCTGGGCTCCTGGGAGGGTCCTGCCCAGCGTCCCGACGTCGCGACGCTTTTGTCTCCCAACGTGGACGTTCACAGGTCTTGGCATCGCTCGGACGAGCGCATCTCCCTCGACAAGGACCATCGAGGCGCTCGGAATATGTTTTGTAAAAGGAGAAAAAGCACGCACGAAACAGGAAAGTGTACGTGGAGTGGACGCCCGAGCGGTGCCACTTTTAGGGCTCCACAAGGGGCCCTAAAGGGCAATCTTTAGTGTTTTTTTCTTCACCCCCCATGTGGGTCACCCCCCATTACCACCCGCCCGAAAGTGGGTACGATGCCCAACAGCAGTTCTTGTTCATTTTGAGCAGGACTCGCTGTCCTCGCCGCCGCGGGCATTGTCCATTTGGGGCAAGGCCGCCTGCCCAATAGCGGCCGCTGTCGGTTCTGGGCAACCCTTGTGTTTGGTTATCGTACCCATGTTTTCCTCACCGATTTCGAGCGTCCAAACAAGAGATCTCAATTCCTTTTTCACCTGGCTTCGGATCCGCCCTACTTTTGGAGGATGCTTCGTTGACGTCGCCTTCCGCGTTTATTTGCCGTCGATGTTTCTGTTCCACTTTTGCGCGAAACTGCCCCCTATTGTTCTTCTGCTGGATGTTCTGCCCTGCTTTACTTTGTCACATCCGTTTGGGTGCATTTCCGACACAGCTTTTGAGGCAGGAACCGCAGCGCCGCCGCCGCCGCCGCCGCCGCCTGGCGTCGCAGGCCGCGCCGCCAGCGCCGTCGTCGTCGTCGTCGTCGTCGTCGTCGTCGTCGTCGTCGTCGTCGTCGTCGTCGTCGTCGTCGTCGGGCGCCGTTGCCGCCCGGAGGCCTCCTCGGAGGGCGCCGTCGCCGTCTGGCTGCGGAGCCCCAGCGGCGTGAGGGTGCCCGAAACACGGCGGGCCGGACACCTTCCGCGCGGTCCGGAGCCTCGGGCGGGACGGGGGGCGAGCAGCGCAGGGGACGGGGTGGCGAGGCTTCGGGTTGCGTGCAGCCAGCCCCATACGTTGTCCGGGCTGGCCTCCGCAGACCCCCCGCGAGGAGTCCCAGCGGGCCTCGACAGGCCGCCCGAGTAGTCCGGGCCGGTCTCGACGCCCCGGCGCCGCCCCCGGCGGCGTCCTTGGAGCGTTCCGCGCCCCAGGGTCGGGGCATTGAGACCGCCCGGGATTCGGGGGGCCCGTCCGTGTGCAGCTCGAAGCCTCACCAGGCAGCACAGAGGGTAAGGGGGGGTCATGTACTCCAGATTTCGTAATAAAGGGAGGGGGGTCTCATTTCGGGGGGGGGTCTCTTCCACTCTATCTTAGAGGGCCTGGGGGGTCTGGGGACGATGTTTTGGAGGGTTCTCCCACGGGGGAGGTCTGAAATGGCTTGTCGTGGAGGGTCCAGACCCCCTCCCTTTTATGACGAAATCTGGAGTACCTCGAGATCCGACGTTGCAGCAAGCACTGCAGCCACGCGTGCGAGACCGCAGCTGGAGCCGTCCGTCTCCGGCATGGGTCGAGCCTTGGTTGCGGTGTGGTGGCCCCAGGGGCCCGAGGCCAGGCGAGAGCGTGCCCGGCGTGAGAGACTGCAGGGCCCGGATCTCGGGGTGTATACAGCCGGGGCCCTGAAGGAGGAAGCCCTTTTCGTTGGGGATCCCCAACGAAAAGGCGCCCTCCTTCAGCACAGTCAAGGAACACCGAGCCCCTCGAGGGGCTCGGTGTGTTCCTTGATTGTGCTGCAGGTTGCCTGCTGTTTTCCTGGAGGTTTTCCATGGGAGGTCGAAGTTCAGCTTCTGGGAGAGAGGGGCCCCGTTTCTTCTTTAGGGTTCCTCAGGTCAACGCCCCGACTGTAGAGGCCCTCCGCCGGAGCATAGCCCTCGCAGCCTCCGAGCCTGCCTTCTCCTCCAGGCCTCGTATGGCCTCCCATGGGCACGCCCTGGCCCGGTTCCGGAGCCGCGCCCGGGGGTGACCGCGAGGGCCGCCGACGACGACGACGACGACGCCGACGACAACGACGACGACGCCGACGACGCCGACGACGACGACGACGACGCCGACGACGACGACGACGACGCCGACGCCGATGACGCCGACGACGCCGACGACGACGCCGACGACGCCAACGACGACGACGCCGACGCCGACGACGACGACGACGCCGACGACGACGACGAGCCTCCGCGCTCCGCCGGGGGCGCGCTGGGCACGCCCCGCTCGCGCTTGGGGGCTTCTGCGGCCCTCGCCGCCGCGGTCCCCCCCGGGGCGCCCCCCGACCCCCGCCCCCCCCCCGAGGTCGGGGGTTGCTAAAGGTGCCCCTGGCCCAAGGTACCCCTAGCTTTTCGCTCAATTTTGCAGCCCGTGGGCCTTCTGGGCCTCGTGAGGGGTGCTCTGGAGGCCGTGGGGGCCTCCTTGGAAATCCTGGGGGCACCTTGGGCCAGGGGCACTTCTAGCAACACCCGACGAGGGGCTCCGAGGCCGCGCGACTGCTTCAAACGGCACGAAGATCGGGACAGAATCGGATAGGGATAATTAACTCGAGATCTCTGAGAAGCGGCGGGTTTGGAGGAGGTATCTTGGGCGCCGCGGCCGCTCCATAGAGCGTTCCGGAACGCTCTGAGAGCGCTCCTGAACGCTCTGGAGCGATTTATCCCGATCCTGTAGCCCTGTTTTACGAGGGCTCCGAGGTCGCGCGACTGCTGTCGCACGGCGTGGGCCCCCCGGAGGTCTGGACCTTCCCCCGGAGGTCTAGACCTTGCGCCGCGTAATGGGGGGGTCATAAATGGGGGGGTGTCGCGGGTGGTCCGAAAAGGCACCCAAACGGTACCTAAACGAGCCCCCTGAGGCTCCCTGATGGTCCGCTACCGAAAATTTCCGGTAGCGCTCCGCAGAGATCGGTCGCTACCGAAATACCGAAATGTAGCGCCCAATACCGGTATCAGACCGTTCTGAAATCCGCTACTTCAACGCCCTCAAACGAAGATCCGGTCGCTACCGAAATTCGGGGTGCGTCGAAATCGCTACCGAAAATTTCCGGTATACCAGACCATCAGGGCTCCGGAGGGGCCCGAAAGGGGCAGGAAAGGGGACCGTTTCTGACCCCCCCATCTATGACCCCCCCATCCAGCCACGCCCAACCCACGGGGCCCGCCTGCCATCCCGAGTCCCGACGAGGTGCCCCCCGCCCCCCGAGAGCCGGCGCTCCGGCAGAGTTGGGAGCGGCGGGATTTTAGGAGCGTTCGGCCTCCCGGGGGCCCCCGCCGGGCCTCGCGGGAGCGTCAGGGATCGACGCTGGACGAGGAACCGGGGCCAGGGAAGTGGTCCAGACCTCCGGGGCCCACGCGTCGAAACAGTTGGAGCGGCCGGGCGTCTGGGCGGGTCTGGGCGCAGCGTGGGCCCCCAGAGGTCACGATGATAATTACCGAAGAGATGTCGAGTTGTGGTGGCGCAGTGCTTCCGCCCGGCTCCAGGACGTGTGCTGCGACTTCCAGATTCGAGCCTCGGCGGCTACGGTTCGCAGCACTGTCACGCAAGGATGCGGTCCTGCGGACCTGCACACCTGCAGCAACTCCTGCAGATCGTGTGCAATCACGAGCTGCAGTGGCAAGGATGCTCGTGATTGCAAACGTCGTGGTTTTTGCCACAGCGTGGGCTCCCGGAGGTCTGGACCTTCCTCCCACGTGGCCTGCCTTCCATCCCGAGTCCCGACAAGGTGCACCTGGAGGCCAAGTGTGCGACCCAAAACCGCGCGCCGTGATGCGGGCTGAGTGCGCCATCGAGATGCCGCCGTCGTCAGCAGAAGGACGTGCGGGCGGGCCGACGTAGACGATCGATGTGGGTTCGGGGAGGGTACCCTCGTGTCCTTCGTGTTTGTTGGATGTTCTTGTGCATGTTGGGGAGGGTACCCTTGGATGTTCTGTTCGGTTTGGCCGACGGAAGGTCTCATGTTCTGGAGGGATGTTCTTCTAGCCTAGATCCGACTGTAGTCCGCGCCGTCGTCCTGACATATTCAACAGGATGAGGCCACCTCGGGCGACATTTCGCAGGGGCACGATCAGGGGCCCCAGGGGCCGAAAGCAAGGAAGAGCGCAGGTTGAAAAACAAATCACAGCGGGGGCCCTCCAGCAAAGGCCTCGTCTTCGATGTTCGAAGGAGTTGGCATATTTGGCATCTTTTCCTAGGCGGAAGGCGGCGGAAGTAAAACGAGGCCGCCTCCGCCAGCGTAATTAAGCCGGCGGAAGGAGAAGATACGTCCCCGAGAGATGCCAACTATTTTGGATTCAGAGTTTCCGCAATCGGCCACACATCTTCGGAGATATGGAGACTGCGCCGTCATCCCGCCGCCGTCGCCAACAGGACATAGCCGACGCCACCCGTCGCGGGTGCTTGGCAAGGGTCCCCAGAGGCCGAATTCGAGCAGAAGCGCCCGGATTGAAAAAACGCATCGTCGGGGATGGGATTTGGGGGATGCGTCGTCGTCTTGCCACTGCCGACGCCACGCAGAGCTACGACGTCGCAATTTTTTGGCAGCGTGGACCCTGGGAGGTGTTGCCCTTCCCCAGGACCGGTGTCTAAACATAGGCCGTTTTTTGCCGGTCTCGGGGCCGGGCGAGGGCCTTTGAGGCAGAAAACATTCAAGCACCGCTTGCCGTGATTGATGTCATGACGAGCTGAGGTGGGGGTGCGTCTTTGTGTCGCAGCCGCCGAAAGGTTCCAGATCTAGCCGACGCCACGTCGGGCGATGATGTGTCTTTTCCCAATGCGCGGCCCAAGAGGTCCCGACCGCTTCCCCAGCGCCAGTTTTTCGTCCCAGATCTCTGTTATTATGGTCCACGGTCCCGAGAACGGCCTCAGTTCGAAGACCGACATCGAGGGTGCCTGTTCTTTCAAGACCACAGGGGGTAACACGTGTTGCTCCCTCTTTGACCCCCGCCCACCCCCGTGACGGAAACGCTTACAAACCGGTGAACAAGCGTGAATATTTGCAGCTTCCATAGGGCATTGTAGAGTGTACACAGGCGCTCCGGCGCTCTGACACACGCAGGCATCGACGTTCACGCAGGACCAATGCATGGTGATGTACACTGGCGCTGTGGAGCACGCAGGCGCTGTGGCGTACGCGTGCGTTGTGGTGCCCATGGCTGCTGTGGTGTGCACAGGCATTGCGGTGTTCACAGGCGTTGTGATGCACGCGGGCTCTGTGGTGTACACATGCGCTGTTGTGCACGCAGCGGTTGTTGTGGTCTACACAGGCGTTGTGGTGTACGTAAGGTTTGCGGCGCAGCAGAAGGATATCAGAGGAGGAGGGGCAGGCCGATGAGGAGGAGTAGGATGAGGAGGAGGCGGAGGGGGAGTAGGAGTTGGGGCGGGGGAGGGAGCAAGATAACAGTATATTCACAGCCTGGTGGCCCCGCTGGAGCGAGCGGAAGGAGGAGGAGGAGGAGGAAGAGGAGGAGGAGGAGAAGGAGGTACACATTGATGCTGTGGTGTGCACAGGCGCTGTGGTGTACCCAAGCATTGTGGTGCACGCAGGCACTGTGGTGTACACAGGCGCTGTTGCACACGCGGCTGCTGCACTGTCACTGTGGTGTACACAGGAGACGCGGTGCGGTGGTGCACGCGGCTGCCGTGGTGTACGCAGGCACTGTGGGGTACGCAGGCTGCGCTGTGTTGCATGAGGCGTTGGGCATCTGTCGTATGTACAGGGACTGTGGTGCACGCTGGCGATTCATGTTCTGGTGGCGCGGACCCACCCAGGCGGGTGTACACCTCGGCCGCCGTTGTGGTTACCCCTCCGACAGCGCCCCCCCCCCAGGGTAACACGTGCTACCCCCGACGGAACGAACAGTCACAGGAAGGCCACCTGGATTTCGGCCCCTGGCTTTCTGCGAAACACGGGCCCCCGACCTCTCGACATTTTCCCCCAGACTGTTTTTTCATCCCGAGTCGTTTTTGATGGCCCCTGGGCCTATTAAGAACCCGGAGAGGCCGAAAATTATGAGAAATCGCCGTCTTGATATACGCCAGATGTCTGGGATCGTTGGAGATCAAGGGGCTGCGCCTTTGTCCTGTCGCCGTCGCCAGCATTGTACCTTCTGCCTGGATGTTGTCACCACCAACACCAAGACAGGGGGGGTCTCCAGCGGGGAAGATGGTTCTAGATTTTGTTGCCGGTGGAATCTTCCTGCCACCAAGGAAGCCCGAAGATCACCACCATCGCCAAGATCGGAAGCATCTTCCCTCAGTGGGCGCAACGGCCGATGTTGGTGTTGGTGCCAACCTCTGAGTCTCCCACAACGTGACCGGCGCCACCTCGTGGTCTGGTATTCGGGCCACAGCTCGGGTGTCTGGCGGCCGTTCGGGACGATCTGAGCATCCGCGGGACGCTCTCGGCGAGGCGAAGGCGCCAGAGAGCACCCCGAGCCTGGAATGGGCCCCACCCCCCTCGTGGAAGTGACAACGAGAACGCCCGAGAAGGCTGTTAAACCTCTAGGTCGGATTCCAGGCCGGGGGCAGGACGCGGAGGTGGGGGGCAGAGCGTGGCAGGACGCCACCTCGGGCGACGCTCTTCTTCTTGTTCCGTGCGCGGCCCCGGAGCTTCCGATCGCTCCCCGGGGCTTGGCTCAAGGCGGGCCCGTCCCCCTGCAGGGGGATTTTCGACGAGAGATAAAAAGATGCCCCCAGCATAGTCAAGAAATAACCCAAAATTAGTCTGGGGACTCTTTTTGGAGTATGTTTTGACCTCTTTAGGGGGTATTTTGGGGGTACTCTTTTTATTTTTCGTCGAGAATCCCCCCTGTAGGGGGGCAGGCCAAGCTTAAGGCTTGGCTTTCGCCCTGGGTCGTGTCTTTTGATGGCCTGGGTGCCCGCGGGCGGCCCCCGCGTGCCGAAAGAGCGAGGAAGAACGCGAATTGAGAAAAAAGGCGTCCGCTCGAAGTCCGGAAGCTTCCGGACTCCTCCTCCTCCTCCTCCTCCTCCTCCTCCTCCTCCTCCTCCGCCTCCCCCTCCTCCTCCTCCTCCTCCTCCTCCTCTTCCTCCTCCTCCTCCTCCCCCTCCTCCTCCTCCTCCTCCTCCTCCTCCTCCTCCTCCTCCTCCTCCTCCTCCTCCCTTCCTCCTCCTCCTCCTCCTCATCCTCCCCCCTCCCCCTCCTTCCTTCCTTTTCCTCCCCCCCCCCCTCTTCCTTCATGCCTCCGCTCGAAAGCGAAGTCCGCTGAAAACGAGTACGCCGGATTGACAGCAGCACGTGGCCAGAGAGCCGGGTCGCCAGCAGGGCCTGGCCCGACGCCACTTCGGGCGGCCCGAGTCGTTCTCTGACGACCGCAGGGCCCTGGCAAGGTCCCTCGGAGGCCGAACGCAGCCCAGGACCGCGAGCTGCGATGAAGTTCACGACGCGATGAGGTCTGAGTGCGACGTCGTCTTGTTGCCGCCGCGCCTTCGTCCTGCCATCGTCAGCACGACGTGGCCGACGCCACCTCGGGGGCTAAGAAGCACGTGAGTGACGCAGACAAGCGGCGTCGTCTTCACGGACATTCGCGCGTAAGCTTCCCGCGTAGGGTCGCGCGTCACGGCGCCGGCCCCTCCACGCGGTGTGCCATGTTGGCGGCCCGCGTAGGCAACCGCGTAAGGTCGCCAAGTCTTCTCGCGCAAGACATCACGAGCAGCGACAAAAATCAGGATCCGCGTTCTCGCAGTCTGGATTCTGGGGCGCAATCCCGCGGGTGCGCGGTCGCACGGTTACGTTCCGAGCGGAGCTTGCGCGAACAAAGGCCCCACGTCCGCGGGGTCGCGGCCCAGGGGCCCGGCCTTTTGAGGCCGCGGATGCGGATGTGTGTTCCGCCCACCGTTTCTGTTCACGGCGGCGAGCCCCAGGGGGAAGTGAGTTGGAGCTTCTCAGAAGGCCTCGGAAGGCCTCGGGCACTCTGAGAAGTTCTGTCCAAGTTTTGGTCCGAAAACGGAGACGGCTTCTCAGAAGGCCGGAGGGCCCTTCCTCTTCCTGTTTCTCCTCCTCCTCCTCCTCCTCCTCCTCCTCCTCCTCCTCGGCTCCTCCTCCTCCTCCTCCTCCTCCTCCTCCGCCTCCTCCTCGCCTCCTCCTCCTCCTCCTCCTCTCCTCCTCCTCCTCCTCCTCCTCCTCCTCCTCCCCTCCTCCGAGAAGCCCCGCCGCCTTCCGAGGAGGCCTGCCCACGCTGCCCACGCTCGTTCCCCCCGGGCGCGCCGCCGATTTTCGTCGCCTACGTGGTTGGAGAGTGGGGTCGCCGGCAGGGCGTGGCCGACGCCACCTCGGGCGACCTGTCGCGGGCGACCCGCTGCCGCTTCGGCGCCGCCGCGCCCGCGGGCGAGGTGCGCCCCCGCGCCCCCGCCGCTCGGGGGGGGGGGGCGTCCCGTCGTCTGCCTGTGCCACGGGCCGAGGTTGGTCAGACCGTGCCGATGCAGCTGCGGCCTCTGGGGGGGGAGGAAGGAGGCCAAGGGAGGAGGAGGAGGAGGAGGAGGAGGACAAGGTACTCGAGGGGGAGGAGGAGGCAGACAAGGAGAGTGGGAAGGAGGAAGAGGAGGAGGAGGCGGAGGAGGCGGAGGAGGAGAGGAGGAGGAGGAGGAGGAGGGGAAAAAGGGGAGGAGGAGGAGGAGGAGGAGGAGGAGGAGGAGGAGGAGGAGAGAAACAAGGGGAGGAGGAGGAGGAGGAGAGGAGGAGGAGAGGAGGAGGAGGACGAGGAGGAGGAGAAGGAGGAAGAAGAGGAGGAGGAGGAGGAACAGGAGGAAGAGAAGGAGGAACAGGAGGAAGAGAAGGAGGAGGAGGAGGAGGAGGAGGAGGAGGAGGAGAAGGAGAAGGGGGAGGAGGAGGAGGAGGAGAGGAAGGACGAGGAGGAGGAGGAGGGAGGAGGATGAGGAGGAGGAGGCGGAGGGGGAGGTTGAGGAGGAGGAGGAGGAGGAGGAGGAGGGACAAAGGGGGATGGGAGGATGATAAGGAGGACGAGGAGGAGGAGGACGAGGAGGAGGAGGAGGAGGAGGGGAGAGGAGGAGGAGGAAGAGGAGGAATAGGAAAGTGAGGAGGAGAAGGAGGAGGAGGAGGAAGAAGAGGAGGTGGAGGAAGAGGAGGAGGAGGAAGAGGAGGAAGTGAAGGAGGAGGAGGAGGAGAAGGAGGAGGAGGAGGATAAGGGAACAGAGGAGTTGGAGGATGAGGAGGAGGAAGAGGAGGAGGAGGGGGAGGAGGGGGAGGAGGAGGAGGAGGAGGAGGAGGAGGAGGAGGAGGAGGAGGAGGAGGAGGAGGGAAGAGGAAGAGGAGGCGGAAGAGAAGGAGGGATAAAGGGGAGGCGGAGGAGGAGGAGGAGGAGGAGGAGGAGGAGGAGGAGGAGGAGGAAGAGGTGGACCAGTGTAAACCCAGTGTAATCCACCCACCATCTAAGCTCCCTCGTCATAGGCCCCTACAACGGTTCATTTCCATTGAGGGAACTGCCTCGTTGGAAACCAACCGTTTGTAGACCCTGCAGCATGCCAAAACACTGCTCTAGGGATTCCAACGCCACGGATCAGCGTGACTATTTCGTGCTGACGATGCTGAATCGCGCTAGAGCGCCATTCCTGGGAATTCAACAAAACGAATCAACGTATTCTGGTACGTTGATGGGGGGAACCCGTGAAACTCTTGCAAGTTTGAAAGCGAGTTTGCGCGGCGCTAAGGCGAGAGCCACAGTCAGAAAAGGAACCGCTGTCGATCCGTGAAACTCTTGCAAATGTTTAAAACGAATGTGCGCCGCGCTGAGGCGAGAGCCACATGTTGAAAACGCCCCGCCCTCAATCCGTTAAGCTTTTGCCCTTTTGTGAACGAATGTGCGCGGCGCTTAGGCGCGAGCCACATGTTGAAAACGGCCCGCCCTCAATCCGTGAAGCTCTTGCAAATGTTGTAAACGAATGTGCGCCGCGCTGAGGCAAAAGCCACATGTTGAAATTGACCCGCCCTCAATCCGTGAAGCTCTTGTTCATTTTGTAAACAAATGTGCGCCGCGCTACGGCGAGAGCCACATGTTGAAAACGATCCGCCCTCAATCCGTGAAGTTCTTGCATATTTTTTAAGCGTCAGAGTCATAAATGGTGAGGCAGTCTCATGCGAAACGCCCGGACCGCTTAAAAAACTGGCCTCGGGGTGCGACAGGGATAAGTTATTCATAAGGAAAAGGAATGTAGGAGGAGGAGGAGGAGGGAAAAGGAGACCAGGCGGAGGAGGAGGAGGAGGAGGAGGAAGAGGAGGAGGAGGAGGAGGAGGAGGAGGGGGGCGATCGGCTCCGCTCCTGGTCCCCGCGGCCTCAGTGTCCCCGACTTCTTCCTCGGTCGGCCCCAGGTGCGTGCTGGCTGGAATCTCGAGGGGAAAATCCCAGCCGTGGCGAAGAAGCGCCTCCGAGAGAGAAGATCCGACGCTTTGATTCCCCCATCAGTGCTCTGAAGGTGTCCTGGCGGAGATCGAAAGATTTGGCAAAAGTGCCCGGCCGATGTCGGTAGGCGGCCGGGTTCTTGGGTTCCCGGTTCCGGGTTCCACGATCGATCTCACTATCGATCTAGCTCAATCGATCTCACGATCGATCCCACTATCGAACACACGATCGATCTCACGATCGATTTCACTAGATCCCACTCACTATCGATCTCACTATCGATCTCACTAGCGATCTCACCATCGATCTCGCTATCGATTTCACTATCGATCTGACGGTTGATCTCACTCAGTCGAACTCATTACCAATATCACTGTCGGTTTCATTATCGCTCTGACGATTGATCTCACTTTCGATTTCACTCAATGGATCTAACTATCGATATCATTATCGATTTCACTATCGTTAGTATAACATAGCATAGCATACAGCATCGCACGGGAAACCCCCAAGCCACGGGACACCACAGGACACCACGGGACACCATCGGGACACCACCAGGACACCATAGGGACACCATCGGGATACCATCGGGACACCATCAGGACACAATCGGGACACCATCGGGGCACCACAGGGCCATTACTGGCCAACCCGGGGGACAGCAAAGTTTGGTTCGGCTTCGCCCTGGCAACGGCGTGCTAATTCATCTCGCCCGCCCACGCAGCTTCGCCTCGCCCGCACACACGACACGAACATGAATCCGAAACTGATTTCCAGGCCGGGGTGGGTCTCCATTTCACTGCGATCTCCCCCCCAACCTGCGATCTCTCTCTCTCTCTCTTTTTCTCTCTCTCTCTCTCTCTATTCATATATATATATATATGAAAGAGCGTGTTCTACCGCTGCTGGCGGAAAACCGCGGGGGGGATCACTACCGGTTCGAACCCTTCCCCCCCCCCCTCCGGAAAACCGGGGGGGGCCACGACTACCGGTTCAAACCCCTCCTCCCTCCGCCCCCCCCCCAGTTCATCATAAAAGGGGGGGGGGGTCACTACCGGTTCGAACCCCCCCCCCCTCCTCGAAAACTGGGAGGGGTCACTACCGGTTCGAACCCCCTCCCCCCCTCCTCGAAAACCGAGGGGGGTTGCGGACAGTGGTGGGGGCGGTGGTGGTGGGGACAGTGGTGAGGGGACAGCGGGACAGTGGTGGGGACACTGTGACAGTGGTGGGAACTGTAGTGGTGGGGACAGTGGTGAGGACAATGGTGGGGACAGTGGGGACAGAGGACAGTGGTGGGGACGGCGGTGTTGGTGGGGACAGTGGTGTGGGGACAGGGGGAGGTGGAAACAGTGGAACAGTGGAGTGTACAGTGGTGGTGGGGACAGTGGGGACAGTGGTGGGAACAGTGGGGACAGTGGTGGGAACAGTGGGACATTTCAGTGGGACTGCGGAGGAGTCAGTGGGACAGTGGGGACAGTGGGGATAGTCGGGCAGTGGTTGGGGCGAGAAAGTGGGGAGAGTGGAACCGTGGTGGGAGCAGTGGTGGGGACTGGGGACAGTGCGACAGTGGTGGGAGCACTTGTGGGGACAGTAGGGACGGTGGTGGAACCAGTGGGGACAGTGGTGGTGAGGACAGTGGTGCTGGGAAACAACAGTGGGGGATGTGGCGCGGACGGTGGTAGGGACCGGGAGTCGTTTGCTGGCGGTGAGTGGGGGGGGGTGGGGGAGGGGTTCGAACTGGTAGTGACCCCCCTCGGTTTTCGAGGGGGGGGGTCGAACTGGTAGTGACCCCCCCTCGGTTCTTGATGGGGAGGGGGGGGTGGGGGAGGGGTTCGGGGAGGGGGGGGTGTTGCCGGGGGAGGGGAGGGGGGGGGGTCCAGCAGGGGGGGGGGGGGGATTTTAGGAGGGGGGGGGGAACCCCGGGTTCCGGAGGAAGAGGGGGGCAATTTTCCAGAGTAAAGCGGCGGTGGATCACGCTCTCTCATATATATATATATATACACATATACATACATACATGTGCAAGGAGAGAACCAAGCAACTATGATAAATAAAGAATGAGGGAGGTAAATGAGAGAGAGGCATACAGTAAACATGCGCGCTTGTATGCGTATATATGGGTACGTATATGTACACGAATATATATGGAGTTAAACATATATGTTTAGGGAGAGGGAAACAGAGAGAGAGAGAGAGAGAGACAGACAGACAGACAGGCAGGCAGACAGAGAGAGAGAGGAACATATAACAACTAGACTGGGCTAGAACGTATGTCCGAATTCGACTAATGCCAGAAGAGGAAAGCCGATTGAGGCACTTGCTAATCATGTTAGAATCCACTTATTGGGGGTTTCTCTGGTATAAGTTTTCAATGCGCCCCCCCCAAAAGTCATTGGAAACCCGATTTGTGTCGGTCGCGGTCGGTAGCGACCAAGTGGCATTCCAAATCGGTCGCGACCGATTTTGGAGGGAGATCGGTCGCGAGCGACCCCGGGATTGGAAGCAACATCGGCAGCGGCCGATCTCGTCGGTCGCGACTTGACCCTTTCCCCAGGGCCAGTTTTTCATCCCTAGTCGTTTTGTCGACGCCCCCGGGCCTGGCCGTCATCAGGGGAAGAGGGAGAGTAGTATTCATATTGAGTAATTGTGGAGGAGGAGGAGGAGGAGGAGGAGGAGGAGGAGGAGGAGGAGGAGGAGGCGAGGCCCCCCCGGAGGCCAACATGGGTCAAGAACCTCGCGTCGTGATCTTTGTTACGACGCGAGGAGGCCACTTTCGGGGCACCCCTCGGGCCTCCAGCGGCCCTGCGGGGCGATCCTGGCATCCCCCAGAAGGTCTTCGGCGAGACGAAACTGCTGGGGAGGCGAGGAACCCCCAGGACACAAGCGAGAGCCTCCGACACTGTCCAGGGCACGACGAGAAGCTCCCAGGCACAAGCCTCGAGCCTCGAGCCGACGCGGGGGGATCACCAGGGCTCGGGGAGGGGCACCTCGAGCTGGAGTCGGCGCTGCAGCGCCCATACATCGGCGGCAGGCCCCCGATGGGCAAACATCTCGCACGTTCCCGAGCGGGGTGGGGCCACCGGGGCCCTCTCGGCGCGCCGTATCGCCGATTCCAGCTCGATGCTGCCCCCTGCTGCCCCAGACTCTCCAGCCTTGCCCCTTCCCTCGCGGGCGATTTTTGTCCACCCCAACCCCCGAGCTCCGCCCGAAAAGTTTGGCCGTTCCGAAGAGTGACCTCCCAAGGGGTCTCTTCGGACGCACCCCAATCGAGGATGGACGGTCCCCCTCCATGGTATGTCCCAGGCCTGGGCCCCAACTTTCTGGCCCAGTCGAAAACCTCCCAAAGCATGGGATAGGGATCGACGTATCCCGTGCTATCCCTGGTCGTCGCGGCGCGAGCGGCGACGTATCGCCGATCCCAGCTCGATGCTCTCCCCTTCTACCCCATGCCCCCGGTCCTTCCCCTCCCCCCTGGCATCGCTCGGACGTGTGCACTTCTCCGTGGCGGCGATCGCTGAGGAGCATCCCGGATCATCCCGCGGACAGTCTTCTATTCCATCGGCGGCGAGGCGGAGGCGATCCGCACCAGCGTCGGGCGAATCGGGGGCGCCGATGGGCAAATTGTTCGGCGTGCAAGCAGACGAGAGAGGGAGGAGAGGCCGGCCGCAAAGGGGGGAGGAGGGGGCAGGCGCTCAGAGGCGGAGGAATTGCGCGGTGAGCGGGCCGGAGCGGCCAGCCTGGATCGGGCGTTGGCAGAACTGGGTTTAGTGGAACCTGGTTTAGTGATTTGTACAGGGGGCGCCCCCCCGCCCCATATCCCATATCCACTCACCGGAACTTGCGGCAACCCAAAAAGACCAGTTATGGCAAACCTGGTTTAATGAATCTGGCCAATTGAGGGACCCCAGGGCCCTACCACTAACCGGGTCCCCTTACCCGGGGTCCTGGCTATATACCCGACTGGAGGACCCGCAGGACCTCGAAAAGGCGCGCCAGAGGGCCCCGCGAAGAGGCACGCCCGAGGCCGAGAGGCGCACGCGGAAGGGGGCTGGGTGAGCCCCGGGGCGGCGACCCGAGGCGGCCGAGTGGCCCCCGCCCCGGGCGGCGCCAGCGGGGCTCCAGTGGCCCGCGGGGGCGCGGAGGCCGCGGGCTCGGCGGCCTCCCCGCGCGGCGGCCGGCGGGCCGGCCAGGCGAGGCGCCAGAAGGCGGCGGCAAGGGCATTAGCAAGAATTGCGTTCGACTCGGCCCCGATTCTCCAGGAAGGCTAGGGGGTGGAGGGGCGTCGTGCGAAGTGGTTCCCGAACGTTCTTTTGCAAGGTGCTTCTCTTCTCCGGTGACGGTGTCGGGCGTTTGGAGCGGGCGACGGCCGTCAGGGCGGCCGACTCCCGGGCCCTGCCAGCGTCGATTCAGCATGGAGGAGCCCGGGAATCCGGCGCCTCGAAGACATCGAGGCGGCCGGCTTGCAGTTTCATCTGCTCGTCGGGGCTCACGTATAACTCCAGGCCTCCTAGATGGGGTCGGAGCAGATGGGGTCGGAGGATCGCGCCGCCTCGCCGATTCATAGCCGATGCAGCTCGATGCGAAGCCCGACTTGCTTCACGCCGACGGCGGCGACGCATCGCCGGTGCACCGCCGGTGCATCACCGGTGCATCGCCGATGCCTCCCGGGTGCAGCGGCATCTGCGGCGCGATCCTCCCGACCCCCTCTGTATGCACGGGAGGCTTCCGACACCGGGGTCGGTGCGGACGAGGGTCGGCCGATGCCCCCCTGGCCGACCCGGGCGCGGGAGCCGCGCGTGGGGCCCTCCGCTGGCCAGGGTCTGGGCCGGCCGGGCCTCGCTGCGCAGGGCCCTTGAGCCAGCCCGGGTGTGGTGCCGACCTTCGGCATATCGTGGAAGCGGTCCCCATGATGCCATGCCCAGCCCCTGCGAGAACCCCACGAGAGTAGCACCCCAGTGGGGGATGCAGCCCTCGAAAAGCCCGAAGGGGACGGCCCACATCCCCATCTCGGGGGGGCAGGTCGGCCGGTGGGGCCCAGGCCACGCCGCTGGGGATGGGGACCGGTGAAACGATACTCAGACCCACCGCCTCCGCCTCCGCCTCCGCCTCCGCCTCCGCCTCCGCCTCCGCCTCCGCCTCCGCCCTCCTCCGTCCTCCCTCCTCCCTCCTCCCTCCTCCCTCCTCCCTCCTCCCTCCTCCCTCCTCCCCTCCTCCCTCCCTCCTCCCTCCTCCCTCCATGTTGTTTATTCGGCGGACGGTGTCGGGCCTCTGGACCGTCGGCACAACTACTCGGGATGAGAAGCCGGCCACGGCGAGGTCAAGAGCCTTTCTGTTTGTTGCGAGCCCCAAGAATCTACACCACCACCACCTCCAGTCCCCCTCCCTCCTCTGCTTTCTTCTTCCCCGCTTTTTTCTCCTGGGAGAGGGAGGGGGTCAGGGAGGTGGTGGTGGTGGTGGTGTATATGTTTAGGCCCCGTAACTTTGGTATTTCAGCCTGGAGCAAAAAGGGGTTTCCTCCTCTCCGCGTCGTGCTTCCCGCTGCACCTCCAGGGGCCACGCTGGGGCAATCGCCGCCTGCACGTCGAGTGTTTCAGCCATGTTCTAGGCTACCGTCCCGCCCAGGACCGTGTCTGAGGAGAGCGGAACTGGTCGAGTGCACGTGGGAATCCACAGGGCAGTGTTTCGGCGAGTCGTCGCGGCCCCAGGGGCACAACACCGTGGTGGGTCCTGGTCGATGCCCCAGGCTTGTGTGTGCTTGCGCCCCGCTCGCCCTGGGCCTCCGGGAGGCTCCCCGTCGCCACGGCTTCGGGCGCCCCCCCGCGGAGGTCCCGGCAGGGTGGGGCACGTCGGAGGGCGGGTCGGAGGGCTGGCGTCTGGCCATTGGACGTCTCATGCAGAGGCCCAGAGGGGGAGAGGGAGGAGGAGAGGGACGAGGAGGAGCACGAGGAGGAGACGGAGAAGGGGAGATCGGGGGGAAGGAGGCGAGTCACGCGCAGCAAGAACTGGGGGGAGGAGGAGGAGGACGAGGAGGAGGAGGACGAGGACGAGGACAGGGACGAGGGGGAGGTTGACACGAACACCAGTATCGGCGGTGTGCCTCCACCGAGGGGAGATGATCCCGATCTCGGTGATTGTGTCAATACTGTGGCTTCCTGGGTGGCCGAAACAATACCACAGGATCACCTCCCAGCGGAGGCAACCCCCTGTGTCGGTGCTGGTGCCCACCTCCAAGCCTTCAATTTGTCTCTGCTGCCGGGCTCCCCGAGTCCTCCCCATGGGGCCCCAGGGACGTCAGGAGACGGCTCGGGATGAAAGGCTGGACAGTTGCGTCGTTGAGGATGGGGCGCCTTCAGGCTTGATCTCCGTTGCGTGGCTCGAGCCTGCCTCCGGGGCCTCAGGCGACGGCTCGGGATGCGAGGCTGGTCCCCAGTAGAGCCACGGGGCCTCTTGGAGCCAGCTTTGGAGCAGTTCTGGGTCCTCGCAGGGCTTCTCTTGGGCTTCTCCAGGGTCTCGTACGGAGGCCTCGTAAGGGGAGCCTCACAAGGGGGCCTCTTGGGGCCTCCTGGGGCCCTCTTGGGGCCTCCGAGCCCCTCTCGCTGCGCAGAGCTGGAATTTTCAGTTCATGGTCCCCCTCTTGGGACCGTCTTGGGCGCCTCTTGGGCCGTCTTGGGCGCTTCTTGGGCCGTCTTGGGGTCCTCCCTCTTGTGCCGTCTTGGGCCGTCTTGGTGGCCTTTGGGGCCGTGTTGGGGGGGCGATCATGTGGGCCTTCTGGGATCTCTCGGAGCGTCGGAAAGCCGAAAAGGCGAGAAGACCAACAACTTTCAATCATTAATCAAATGAAGAACAATGATTTGAGCCTCTAGGGGCCTAGTCGGGAGGCCGCTTGGAGGCCTCTTGGAGCGTTTTGAAGGCCTCTTGGACCGTTTTGGGTCCATCGTTGGCGTCTTCCAGCGGTTTTTAGGCGTCTCGGGGCCCTCTTGGGCCATTCGGGGAATCTCTTGGGGGCCTCTTGGCCCGTCTTGAGGCCCTCTCCCCCAAAAGTCGCGCGGGGAGACGCGGGGAAGCTACGGCAAGCCCCGGGGGATTTGGCAAGTTGGGTTCGGGGCCCCTTTTCAGACACCTCAGGCATCAGGACTGCGGAGCGAGGCTCGACGGGTTATCGGGGTTGGACAGACCTCCTGCCCTGACACGTCGATTGAGGAATTGGCCGTTTTCGGTTCGCGAGAGGGCGCCGCGGCCGCTATTTTGCGGGTCCAGGTCCGTCGGTTTCTGCCCCAGGCCGTTTTCACGAAGGGGAGGTTTACTAAAGGGAGGTCTGTCCACCGCCGAGGTTAGGCAGACAAGAACTTGAGGACACGCCCACGTCCGTGCCCGGAGGCACGGTGGCCGGCGGGCACAGCCGAGGCCGTGAGAGCCGCCAATGATGCAAGCCCGGCCGCGGAGGCGGCACAGCGAAGAAGCGCGAGCGCCCGCCAGGCGGGCAGAGGGGCAGGCGGCGGCGGCGAGGAGGAGGAGGAGGCGTTAGCAGAGGCGACGTCGAGGTTGAGAGGTGTTCGGGCATTTTCGAGGCCGTCTCCTCCCCCTCCTCCTCCTCCTCCTCCTCCCTCCTCCTCCTCCTCCTCCTCCTCCTCCTCCCTCCTCCTCCTCCTCCTCCTCCTCCTCCTCCTCCTCCTCCTCCTCCTCCTCCTCCTCCTCCTCCTCCTCCAGGCGGTTTGCCGGCCTCGAGGTGCTCTCCAGCGGCTGCGCCTCGCCGAGCGCGGCTCGTGGTGCCCGGATCGTGCCGAGGGGCCGCTGGAGAGCCGAGTTGCGGCCCGGCAGGCGGGGATGGGCGGATGCATCGACCCCCAATCGCCCATTCCTTCGTCGCCGATGGGGGCCCGATAGCCCACCCCGCCCAGGAGCGTGCGGATTCGCTATCGGCTGCCTATCGCCGACCTATCGGCGATGTACCACCGATGTACGCTCGATGCTTCCCCCTGTGAGCTGGTTCCCTCCCGACCTTTGCCCTTCAGCAGAAGAGCAGCGGCGGCGGCAAGGAGGAGGCGGAGGAAGAAGAGGATGGAGGAGGAAGAAGGAAGGATGAGAAGGAGGAGAAGGAGAAGGAGGAGGAGGAGGAGGAGGAAGGAGGCGGATAAGGAGAGGAGGAGGAGGAGGAGAAGGAGGAGGAGGAGGAGGAGGAGGAGGAGGAGGAGAGAGGGAAGAGGAGGAGGAGGAGGAGGAGGGAGGAGGAGGGAGGAGGAGGAGGAGGAGGAGGAGGAGGAGGAGGAGGAGGAGGAGGAGGAGCCCATCTGGCCTCTGGCGGGCCGGGGCCGTGAACGATCATCCGTTCGGCCTGATCGTTCGATCGCGCCGATCGACTCACGCCAATCGTGATCGGCCGCCCGCGGGGCCGGGCTCGCGCGCCGCGGCGGGTCGGCGATAGCCGACGCCGCAGCCGCGACCCTGCGCCTGGCTGCGCGCCTGCTGGCGCGCCACGTGGGGCCAGACGCCTCGGGAGCCCGCCTGGCACAGGCGGGAGAGGGCACGCCGCTCCTCGGCGAGGGCCCTGCTGCGCGTGGTGGAGGCGGCCAACGTCCTCAACAGCCACCACTCAGCGCAGCAGCCCCAGCGCCAGCAGCAGCACCAGCGCAGCCGCAGCAGCAGCGAGATGACGACGAAGGCGCAGCAGCAGCACCAGCGCAGGCGCAGCAGCAGCGCCAGAGACTGGTCAGGAGACATCGGAGCCATCGGAGGGCGACCCTGGGAGTGGGCCCGCGATGACAGCCAGCACCACCAGCGCCAGCGCAACGGATACCAGCAGCACAACGCTCAGAAGAGGCAGCACAGCCAGCAGCAGCAGCAGCAGCCTCAGACCCACAAGCACCACCACCAGCCAGCCCAGCACCAGCACCAGCAAAAGCACCCACAGCACCAGCAGCGAAGTGACAGCGACCAGCACTGGAAGCACAGCGCGCCATGGAGGAGCGCCTCAGCCAGAAGGAGAAGCAGCAGGCGCAGAAGAAGGGACCAACTCGACACACCAGCCTCAGCCTACATTGGCAGCTTCCAGTACAGCCCCCAGCAAAAGGCAGTCCTGGACAGCATCACGCCAGTCTCCTTCGCCGTCGCGATGGAGCACGAGAGCTGGTCCGCACCACCAGACGACGAGGAGATGAGGTTCGTGTGGTACAAGACGAAGTGCCACAGGCTGGGACGCCTCTCCGAGAACATCGCTGGCGCTAGGCTGGCGGGCTTGTGCACAACCAGCCTCGAGCAGGAAGCGGCGATCACCGCCACGAACATCTCCTTCGTCCTGCCCCACAAAGAGCGCATGAAGCAGCTCAGGGCTACGCTGGAAAAGCTGGAGGAGGAGCATGCCGAGATGGAGAAGCGGCTCAGCAAGATGCTCGACCAGGAGGCGGCGGCCGCCAGAACCATCAGGGTCTACAAGACCTTGATGAGGGAAACCAGAGATCAAATGGCAAAGTCGGCGGGCGTAAAGGAGGAATCGTCAGAGGAAGTGGGGAGCCATGAACCCACCAGAGGACGCACGCCACACCCGGCCGCGAGGAGGAGGCGCGATCCAACTGCAGCTCTAGCGGCACCAGCCACAGCTCAGCCAGCCACAGCTCAGCCAGCCACAGCAGCTCAGCAGCCACGACCAGCCCCAGCAGCACCAGACGAGATCAAAGACGCCATCAGGAGACTGACCGAGAGGCTCGACTCGCAGCAGAAAAAGGAACAGCAGCAAAGCGACCTGCTGGCACAAGCAGAGCTCAAGCACAAAAGCGAGCTGAAGGCCTACGAGCAGACCATGGCGCAAAAGATGTACCACGCGACCGAAGTGCAGCTGGCCAAGCAGGAGGAGTGGCACACATGGGAGGTTAACGCGCTCAAGCGGCACCACAACGCCAAGCTGGAGGAGGAGGAAGCGAAAGCATACGAGGCACAAAGAGGCACCCAGAGGACACAGGAGGAAAGGGCCAAAGGGATGCTCGGGGACTTGCAAATGCATCTTGAGTTGGAAAAGAAGACACTACGCGAGGAGATGCACAAGGAAGACCAGAGAAGAGCAGCCATCTACACGCAGCAGGCCCAGAAGGCCAGGCAGGAAGAGCAAGCTGTGAGACAGATGGCGGCTCAGGAGGCCCAGTGGTACAAGATGGCGCAGGAGCACAATGAAAAGGCGACGCAGGAGATGGCGGAGGCGGAGTACCAGGAGCGATGCGCCCGTCGCAGCGCTTACAAGGATGAGGAGCTGCGGATCGCAGTGAACTACCAGCAGATGGCCCACGAGCACCAGGAAGAAGCCAACAGGCGCGAAGCGATGCGGGTCGTCCTGAACCTGGAGCACGCAGCCATCCAGGCGAAGGCATATGAGATGCAACACGAGCAGGAAAAGTACCTGGAGCGCGTCGGGGAGCACCAGGAGGCGGTGGACAAAGCCCAAAGGATGGAGGAGGTGGCACTGCAGAGACAAGCAGCGGCCACAAGGGAGCTCCAGGCACTACAGCATTAGCAGGAGATGGAGAACCAAGTGGCGCAGCAGTACCACAGCACTCTGCAGCACCAGCACCAGCAGGAGATGCAGGCCGTGGCGCAGCACTACGCCCACAACCAGTACATGAGCGACGCACAGAGGCAGCAGCAACTACAAGACCTCCAACGCGCACGTGATTTGCAAACGGCAGGACTCCAGAACGCACTACGGGACGCCTGGGGAGCAGGAGGACAAGTGGACGAGGACCTGCTACTCGACATGACGGACGACCTCATGGAAGACACAGTCACGAGTGAGCGCGACCAAGGCATGGCGGAGCAGGAGGGCGCGTACCAGAGGGAGCAACTGGAGGCAGACTTACTTCGGCTACAACCTAGCCAGTACGAACTTCCACATCCAGAACTACCGCCGTACCTCGAGGAGCTGGCCGGGGTGGGATTCGGAGAGAGGTCTCATACATCGTCGATGCCAACGCCAGAGGAGCCTACCCTCTCGTCGTGCGACGACCTCAGCTTCCAGGACCAAAGCTTCGTGCCGAGGACATCCGCCGAAGAGTGTCCGCTACCGCCACCACCACCTCAGCAGCTCCCGCACATCGAGGAGCACAACAGCGTCGGCTCATTCTCGCACTCGGGGCTGCTCGACGTACGGGCGAGCAGCGACTGCATCCCAATTGGCGAATCCGACGACGCCGACCTGCAGGACGAAGAGACGAAGATCCGCCAAGGCCTGCGCAAGGAGAAGGAGGACGAAGCCCCGACAGACCTCGCCTCACTCTCACCAACGATACCAGCCGACTCACCCATCCCGACAGAACAGCCCACGCCAAGACACATACTTTTTCCGCCCGTCACGCCTCTCACGCCAAACAAGACCCCACAACAGCGATCACAGCCAGCCAAAACCCCCATGACGACGCTGTTCATCGACCTCAGCCGCGACGAGGAGGCTTGCCCCAGCACACCTCCACGGATGCCGGTTGAGGACATCACGCCCACCGTGCCACACGAGCCACGGCTGCCACCAACGCGATTCCACTTGGGCACGCCAGAGAGGACGAGCTCGGCACCTCCATGCAGTGGTAACCTGAAGCAGCCAAGAGATCCCAGGAGGGCGAGGAGCCAGCCGAAAAAGGTCAGGATCTGCGACGCGGACGATGGCTTCGCGGACCCAGGCGACAGGGTGGCATCCTTCATCGAGAGCGGCGAGAGCGACCTCGACGGGGGTCGACTGTCAAAAAACTGAGTTGGAGCACGCAGGCTGGGGGGCAACTGGCCCAGACCTGCGTCCAGACAGCCACACCAGAAGACATCGGGGATATTGGGCCCAGACTCAGAGACCCGTGCGGTGACGAGCCTACGCCCAACGACCCCCACCCACGGCCCCTGGCCGCACGTACACGATCGCACCTAGCTTCCATCACACTACATAGTTACGTCCAAGCCGATGCGAGCCTGGGGGATGCCGCATCCGCTTCAAACCACCAACGCTCTACTAGGGAGCCCCGACTCAAAAGACGCAGCAGACGAACCACCTGCATTACTAGCTCCCTAGACGCCGCAACTGTGGGCAAGGGTGGGGACCACCCACAGGACGGCGACACCAAGTTTGAGCGCTCCAAGCGCGGACCTGAGCGACTCCCTCAGGCCGCGATCCCCACTGCCATCTGGGTCCAGGCAGGCAACCAGCACCGCGACGGGGCGAGGCTGCAGCAAGAGTGGGAGAGCTACTCGAGCAGCCAGCCGCAGTGCCAACAGCGTGGACCAAGGCGACACCCCTTGGCCACGCCAGGATCGACACCCCACTTCGCGGGAGCCGCGGCGGCCCATGCGGCGTCGCAATCCCGGCAGCACAGCCGCGCGAAGGAGGACCCAGGCAGCAGGTCGAGACTATCAGATCTATCACATCTGGAGGTCTCCCAGCGCCGGGCACTCTGGGAGCATCCCACACTTGCAGTCGTCGGAGCCTGGCCCTCTCGCCAACCTCTCGACACCAGCCACTTGGGCTCGCAAGCAGACCACA